GGAAAAGCTGACACTTTTTGCCTGTTTGGGAAGCTTCTAGGCCACTTTCCTCATGATATGCGCAAAGAGTAGGTTAGCATTTTCGTTGATGCGGGCTGCCTTCAGTCCACTAGATTGGAGCTATGAAGTGCACATGTGGTAGGACATATTGAGTGACTAATGCACAGCAAACAGTTCCTTCCGTACATTGCGGAAGAAGTAAACGAGAGAGTCTGGTTATGCGTGTTGATCTAGTGTGGACACCTACAGACGGACAGTCTCAAAGGAAGCACAGGCTTGGCGTCGTAGCACGTGGCCACTACCACTCAAAGTGCTGACTGACAGACATCTCCGCCTACCACGAAACTGAGCAGCGTCCTTCTGTAGATTCAACAAAAGACACTATTCAGCTTTCTTGCCCAGATGTTCTGCAAACGATGCTGTTCCAGAAGGGAAAAACTTCTAAGCAACCAATGAAGAAGAGGTTAAATCAAAAGCCCCTTGCTGATCGTTTCTCAAACTTAGAACCATGTACGCATGAAGAGGCTTGATTCACGCATGTTGCTACATGTCTTGGATGCATATCAGCGGGCCACAGAAGTATAGTAAATTCAGTGGCAACGGACACGGATCCGCTCTCTGTGTTTGCATCAGCGATGGCAAGCGTTATGGACGGCTTGCAATGTGGTTGCATTGCACAGTCGGGAAACAATTCAGGCCAATTTGACTGCTCACACTATTTGCGACTCACATTGGCCGTTGAACGCTCATGGGGCCTTTTGTTCCCTGCACGCCTTGTGTCCGTATGCGCATACTGTTCTGCCATATCTGGATTTAGGCAAAAGGAACCGCGTAGGAAACATATGGAATTCCATGCCTAACTTGAAGGGAGTCTTCAATCATCTCTCACATGCACCAGCTGAAGTAACAAATATGCATATGAACAAAAACACATATGAGAGTTGTCTTCGTTGTATCTGTACAGTCTTAGAAATTCGCCTCTGAAGCAAAGTGAACAAAGCACGAGAAGCAGATCCGTTTGCTAGGGAAATCGGCAGATTGAGCAAAACAATTTCCACCAACAAAGGCAGTCACTGCGACAACAGTATGAAGAGGGCAGTCTTTCAGGCTGGTCAATCTGGCGGACAGTCTCAAATTGCAAACAACAGAGCGTAGCCTTCACCTGCAGATTGGGATGGGCGCGAAAAATGCCTGATGATGCTGGCGTTCCATTTTGGACAATAATGGCCAGAGGCGTTCAAAGGGGTGCCGAAAGCTTGGATCAAGTTGCAAAATGCTAAAAAACGGTGCTGAACTTGGCTGGAAACTGCCAAATGTTCGCAGCCTAATCTACTTATGCACAGAACTGGTTTTTGCTCAATGCTTCCCAGAATGAGCAAACGAGGGAAAGTCAAAATGGATGACGGCAAACGTCTTGCGGCATCGTTACAGCTTTCAATTGGTGAGGAAAAATATTTTGCGAAATGGGCTTTTTCGCTCTATTAATACAATTGAACGGGCAGCATATAAAAAATTTCCTGAGTTTTTCAATTTTCAGTGCCCTTACGTGATTTAGAACCTAGATTTTCCAGCATTTCGGTCATTGTCGGCATACTGGAAATTTAAGATGGCCTGCCATATGGTTTGTCTGACATGTCAAATCATTCATTAATTGAACTTCAGCATCGGCAAAATGCTCTTGTGTACCAAACTTTCAGGCGCCCGCAGGGTCATTTAGAAACCCCAAGAAGTAATGTTCATGTTTCGTCCATGTCGGCCATACTGCGAAATTCAACGATGGCTGCCATATGGTTGTCAGACATGTCATCCAATCCGTTATTGAAACTCAGGCATCGTCAAAATGTCTTGTGTACCAAAATTTCAGTGCCGCAGCTCTATTAGAACCCAAAGGATAGTAAATGTTCAATGCTTTCGTATGTGGCGCGACTGGACATTCAAAATGGCTGCCATATGGTTTGCGACATGTCAAATCAATCCATTATTCGAACTCCCAGGCATGGCAAAATGCTCTTACTGAGCCAACGATATAAGCGCCACATGATCATTTAGAACCCAAAGTAATAGTTCAATTTGTCTTCAATGGTGGCCATATTGGAATTCAAAATGGCTGCCATATGGTTTCGTCAAGCATTTCAAATTAATTCATTATTAAACCGCTGCATGTCGAAATGCCCTTGCATTATACTAAATTCAGCGCGCCACCACAGGTAATTGTAGAACCCAAGATAGTAATATCAATGTTTCGTTATTGCGCGCACTATTGAATTCAACGATGCGCGGCCGATGCCAGTGCGTCAGACCTCTTGGATCCAGCATTTCGAACTCAGCATGTCACAATACCCCTCGTGTGCAAAATTTCACAGCTTGTCTGCCGGAGTGACATTTCGACAATATTTTTGTTACATAATCTGCCCCACTAACTCCGCATAACATCCACGCACGGCCTACAAACGCGTGTCCTGCACGGTTGCACCACTACACGCAGACCAACGCACGCACGCACGCACGCACGCACGCAACGCACGCCACGCATCGCCAGCCACGCATGTAACACAACGTTCTAGCTCTCGCCTCAGACTCTTTCACGGCAAACTATGTCTCTCCTGATGACACAGAGATACTCAGGTGAGTTCCACGCCGGTGACTCCCTTCTAGTGTCACCCTTCGTCAACTGACGCCATGCGCGGCGGATTAGCATTTGTCTCAACAACACCGTGCGGCAAACTCAAACTGCCAACCTGTACGCGTGTACGTAAGATGCAGCGCAAACACAGAGCAAAAAGGTCACATTCTTTCACGGTGCTTCTCGTATATGAAAATATAATTTGCTGCGACTCCAGCGCAAAAACAAACCTCTGGGTCCAAAAGTCCAATATTCGTCACGTAGTTTTTTTTGTTCAGGTAATAAGAACCACGACGCGTAGGAAGGCTAAATGGGGGGGAATCTGACCCAATGCTATATCTCATGCTCACTTCGTAGACATGTATACTTCTGGACGTGGCCTGGACAGTTCAAGATGCTTTCATGCTAACCTTGATATAGCTGTGTAGCTATACATATATAGATACAAACAGTCGCAGAGAGAGAGAGAGAGAGAGAGAGAGAGAGAGAGAGAGAAGAGAGTGAAGAGAGAGAGAGAGAGAGTGAGAGAGAGAGAGGTGGAGAGGAGATGAGAGAGAGTGGGAGAGAGAGATGGGAGACAGAGAAGGAGAGAGATGGCGAGAAAGAGAGGAGAGAGAGAGATGAGACTCAGGGAGTGAGAAGAAGATACGAGAAAGCACGTGAAAGAATTGGCCTTTGCTCTGTGTTTACGCTGCATCTTACCAGGTTGGCAGTTTGGAGTTTGGCCCGGCACGGTGTTGTTGGACAAAAGCTTACATCCGCGCGCGCGCGTCAGTTGACGAAGGTGACACTAGAGGGAGTCACCGGCGGTGGACTCAACCTGAGTATCTCGTGTGTCACCGGAGAGAACTAGTTTGCGTGAAGAGCTGGATAGGAGCAGAGCAGAACGGGTGTTACGCGTGGTTCTCTGTTTGTTTGTTTTTTGTTTTTGTTTTTTCACTTGCTGCCGTGAATGCTGTCGTGGAATCTACAGTAGTGGAAGCGTACAGTGAGTTGATTTGAGTAGGTGGGCGAACATTTTGCTTCAGTTATAATCGTTGTATTGTCCTTTACCTTGTCGATGACATTTTTATTGTCGAAGAGGTGTTATTTTCAACTTCTAATACAGTTAAACCCACGGTAGAGGACATTTCTATAGAACCACACACAGACATGTATATATACTCTATAGAGGACATCTCTACATCTCTATATATCTCTATAGGTTATTATAACGAAAATGTTTGGCATTTTCCCTGTGTGGCAGATATACAGTGAAACCGCGTTCACGGAACAAATACATGACAATAACGGAACACATGCGGTTTCCTTCAAGTGATCTTTATATTCAGGAATGAGAGTGACCTCCATGATTTTGTTGAATTTTTTCAAGATACGATCTACACAATATTTATCGGTAGTTTGATAGCAAATTATATAAACAAGTAAGTAAGCTTGCGTTAGTCAACGGATAGGAATGATATTAGGAAATACAAGAAAGTCCTTAGCGCTACATAGGTTAGGGTGTGCCATATCCGTGATGAAGGCTGAAGGTTGGGGTAAAAGAGTTTGACCGAGTTTGACTCTCGACACAGCTAGGGTTTTTCACGGGCTCGTTGGAGTGTAAACCGAACACCGGTATCTTTGTGACGTTGCTGTCGTGGTGTGCTGGGTGCATGGTGGTGGGGTGGGGGTCGGTGGTCACTGCACTCACCGGGGAATGCTGGCATGCAATCATCTTGCTTTAGTTTTTGTTTTTGCTGTTAAACCAGTTTTTTTGCAGCATGTGCACATACTGCTGATTTTTGGTGCAGTTGTCGCACGCAAAGAAGTGCGCGTCGAGATCTGAAAGATCTGTTCAGGGGGAGGACGGATCATTAGTCTAGTTTACTCAGATCCTCTCCTCGTTATTAAATGATGTAACAGGAGTCATACTGATCTTGGGAAATCCTGGAAAGTTCTGAAATTTTAAAATTACGTTTACCTGGTCTGGAATGTCGCGTTCTAAAAAATATGTGCTATGTGCTGGGGATAGTTCTGGAAAAATAGACTATGGTTATCTAAAGTAGTGAACGTTTGGCTATTCTTAATGTTTAGCATCAGAAAGTTCTTGAGATTTAGCACAAACATTTCTATCTTGTCTGAGAAACAATCAAATTTGCTTCGTGCAAGATTTTGTTTGTTGGTTGGATGATGCAAGACACAGCGATTGTATTCAGCTAAAATCTTGCAGTCAAGGAAAATAGACCTTTAAAGTCATGAAGAAAAATTTGGCCTTAGGTTTACGAACCCTATTCAATGAATTGCCGTTTCAAGAATATCGTTAACATTTGCGATTGTTCGTCATGAAGACATCTTTGTGATCAATGCTAATTAAACCCGCGCTTCGTTTACGCAGGTCACTCCACGCTGCCGCCGAGGCATCACGTTAACACCAAGCGCCCTCTGCTGGATAAAGACGCAATCGCTTCTCCGTAATCGTCAACTTCCAAGCAGACCGCTAGTGTCCGTCGTCCACCCGAAGCTCGAAGGTTGTGATTCAGCATCCGCGAAGCTCGAAGGTAGTGATTCAGCATCCGCGAAGCGCGAAGCTAGCGAGAGCCGTAGATAGTCCGCCGAGAAAGAAAGCCGAGCGTGAATTGCACGGGGAGGAGAATTCCCGTCCGGATAAGCGCGCGCCGGGAGGAAGCATCCGGGAATCTGGCAGGGAAAGCGCGAGCACCGCGGAACAGCGAGGAACGGGGGGGGATAGCTCCGCGCTTCCGGATCCCGGAGAGACGGCGCGACGGCCGCGGCAGACGCGATGATGTGCCGCATGTGCGTGATCGCTGCGGCGACGGAGGTGCGTTGCCGCGGCAACGACGACGACGTCCGCGAGCCGCTGATGATGCTGGAGCTGCGGCAGTGGCTCGGACTCGAGTTCTCGTCGTCGTCGTGGCGACCGCAGCTGCCGCGATGCTCGGAGTGGCGTGAGTGCCGACGCCGCGTCGCCGCGACCCCGGGGTCGTCGAGGATGCCCCACATGTGCCCCCTGGCGGCGACGCCCGCCCCGTGCGAGGCCAGCGACATGACGACTATACCGGAGACGCGCCCTCTGGCGGCGAGCGGCGGCGAGCGCGGGGTGTCGCAGTCGGAACTGACCGTCGTCAGCAAGATGGCGCCACCGGTGAATCGGCGGATGAACCCGATGCCAGCGACGGACTACGCGTGGCAGGCGGCGGAGAGGGAGGCGGGGAAGCTGATTCGCCGTGGCAACGGGGGGAGTGCGGCGCGGCGTCCGAGTAAGTGGCGTGCGGAGGAGGGGAGGCTGGCTGGCTGCGCTCTGCATCGTTATAGTGGCTGTCGTTAACATTGTTGCTGTCATTTTTGGTGTTGTTTGTTATGCTGTCGTTGTCTTATGTCTGTCATTGTCGCTGTCTTATGTCTGTCATTGTCGCTGTCATTGTCTTATTATGTCTGTCTGTGTCCCTGTCATGCTGTTTATGGCTGGTTTGTCGCGTGTATTGTCTTATGTTGTCATTGTTGTCGCGCTGTGATATGTCTTATGGTCATGTTATTGTTGTCCGCTGGTCATTGTTTATGTCTGTTATTGGTTTTTGTCTGTTTGTTGTTCTGTCTGTCTGTCTGTCTGTTTGTTTGTTGTTTGTTTGCATTGTTTTTACTTGCTTCGTTCTCTTGTCGTTTCAGACGTTGTTATCGATGGTAGTCGTTCGTTTTTTTGTGCTGGCGCGCGGCGGCACGTCGGTGGGGGGGGGGTTTAACATGATCTTCCGTGTGTTCTCTTCGTTGTTTTCGTTCTCGGGCTGCGCGCGCGCGTAGTTGGGGTTTCTGATCTCTTGTGTTGTCTTTACTCGTTGTTTACGTTCGTCGTGCGGTATGTAACGTTGGGTTTACACTGATCTCTGTGGTTTCTTCTTCGTTGTTTCGTTCGTCTGCGCGCACTTAACGTTGGGGGTTTAATCTGATGCTCTGACACTGTTTCTTCTCGTTCGTGCATTTGTCTGCGTGCGCCGTACGTTGGGGGTTTACCTATCTCATGTGTTTCTTTCGTTGTTTGCGTTTCGTCTGCTGGCCGCGCGGAAACGTTGGGGGTATAAATGATCTCCGTGTTTCTTTCGTTGGTTTGTTGTATGCGTGCGTCGTAACGTTGGGCGACGTTTATCCGAATGCCCGTGTTATTCGTCGGTTGTGTCGTTCGGTCCATCTCGTAACGTACAACGTTGGGGGTTTAACTGATCTCCGTGGTTTTCTCTCGTTGATTTTATTGTCTGTGGGCCGTACGTGGGGTTTAATCCGGGGGAGATCCGTGTTTCTCTCTCGTTGTTTCGTTTCGGGAATTTCTGCGCGGCGCGCGTATGTTGGGGGTTTAAATCCCGTTACTCCTTGTTTCTCTATCGTTGTTTAGTTCGTCTGGTGAGTAAAGTTGCGCGAGGTTTACGGTTCTCCGTGTTTCGCTATCGTTGTTTCGTCTTGTCTGCAGTGCGCGTACGTTGGGGGTTTACCTGATCTCTGTGTTCTCTCTCCGTGTGAATCAATCTTGTTTTTTCGTCTCGTCTGCGTGCGAGTCGTTTGTATGGGTATTAACTTGATTCGTTGTTTCTCTCTTCGTATGTTTCGTGTTCGCTCTGGTGCCGTAGTTGGGCGGTTAACTGATCACAGGCGGTGTTTATTAATCAGTTGTTTTACGTGTAGTACTGCGCAGTGCTCTGCACCGGTAACGTCATGGGGGTTCTAACTGATCTCAGTGTTTCTCCTGTTCGTTTCGTATGTTAGTCATGCGACGTAACGTTGGGGGTTTACCTGTCTCCAGACGAAACATGTTTATCTGTCAGTCTGTTGTTTCGTTTAACAGCAATATATGGGGACTGAATTGACGCGATGATGTTCGTGTACGTAATTTAGCGGGCTCTTAACCTGATCCCCGTGTTCTCTCTCTAGTTGTTTCGTTTATCATTACGTTAGTCTGCCGTTGCGACTGGATTCGTAAAGATATGAGTCAAGGGGCTTTACTTGTATCTCGTGTCTCGTTCCGTTAGTTTCAGTTTGGGTATGCCTTATGAGCGTCGTACACGTTTGATCAGCTGGGTTAAATTGATCCCGTGTTAGCATATATGTCTGTTTTGTTAGTCGCGCTGCACGCTAGTGTTAAGCGGTATAGGGGTTTAACCTGAGTCCAAGCTCGATTTCTGTCTCGTTTGTTTTCTCGTTGATTCTAGATAGGGCACCGTAACGTTGATGAACTCTACGGGGGTATTAACTGATCTCTCGTTGTTTCTCTCTCGTTGTTTGTTCGTGCTGCGCGGTGCACGTAATCGTTGGCAGGGTTACCTGATCTCAGTGGTTTATCTTCGTCGTGTTTCGTTCGTTGCGTGCGCGGCGTAGAGGGTTGCGGGGCGCGGGGTTTAGACCTGACCTGCTCTAGTTTGTCTTCTCGTGCGTTTGTTTCGGTTGTCTGCGTGGACGTAAGGTTGGGGGTTTTAACATGCTAGTCCCGTTAGTTTTTTCCTCTCGTTGTTTCGTTCTGTGTTCTTGCTCGTTAATGCGAATCTGCGTACGTTCTCGGGTGAGTATCAAATTAAAGATCAGAAATATCCGCTCGTTTTCTGATCCTTCGTTGTTTCGTTTCGCTCTGCGTTGCGGTAAACGTTGGGGGTTAACCTGATCCGGGTGTTTTCTCTCTCGTTGTTTTCGTTGCGTCTGCGACGCACGGTAACGTTGGGGGTTTAAACCTGATCCGTGGTTTCTCTCTCGGATTGTTTCAGTTATCTGCAGTAGAGGGTAATTCTATGGGCGGTTTTAATCCGTCATTCAGTTGTTTGACCTGCTGTCGGTTGCAGCGCAACGCTTGTCACTGACATCTGGCTCGTGGACGGTGATCCTGACCCTGAGAACCTAGGTTTCTCAAGCCATGATTTTTTGGCGTGATGCCGTGTCTCGGTAATTCGGCGCACTTCACCTTGTACAGTTTATGCGCTACGTCGTCTCCGGTCATCCGTGAGACCAGTATCTTACGGTTCTGCTCGCAGTTACAATTGTGCTAAAGATTGCTGGCGAAGCATCAGGAAACACGCGCGGATTAATTCCGCCTGACCAACTGGCAACTGATGACACTGTGTTGATAAATATTCGCGAGCCCTACAATAAGTCCGAGAAACAGCCCCCGTCGGCCTGC